TGTGGGGATTTGTGAGGGAACTTGGTTGTTGAGAAGTGATGGTGTTGTGGACGGAATGGTGGGGGGTGCATTTTGGGACCTGGACAACCTGGAGATGGTGAGGACACAAGCCGCAGCAGCCTCTGCTGCACAACTGCAACTCTTTGCGACGGAGGACATGACTCGAGAGTCTCATAACCTGAGACGCAAAGTTCTCCCTTTGATGTTCTCACTGACAGCACACCCTCTTCGTTTTCGTTTTAAGGTGTGCTCTTTAAAATGCCTTGAGTGCCTTGTATGCCGTGAGGATGCATCGCCCTTCAGATAGATGCAAGTGTACCTATAAAGTAAGTACACTCCATCTTGAACATGCGGCGTAGAATAGTGTACAGTCTTTACCCCTGCAGTTGCAACCCCCCCTTGTGCTAAAACCCTACTTATTGCCAAAGAAGTTGGCTGCCAGATTTACAGGCCCATACTGGGACTGCTAACTGTTAATTGCAACAGTAACGGCCGGATTCTTGCATCAACAAGGGTCAAGTTTTGGTGGGAGTGAACACTTATACCCCTGTACCGGGGCTCAGCGACCCACTTTTCCGGTCCGTCGGCGGCCTTCCAGTGGCCTGACCGCCTGTTCTGGTCTGTGCGCTGGATCCCTCTTTTGCAAACACCCTATTTATTGCAAGAAAAATCGTTGCCGGAATTGAATTGCATTAACAGGGGTAAAGACTGTATTGATCTTGTGATGTGCATCGGCCTGGAAGTGGTAATTGCTCAAATCGAACGAACCGGGCGTCGTCGTTACTGTCGTGTATGCAAGCACTTTAGCAAAGGTGGGTTTGAATAAGGTAGGTGGTAAGGGAAGGTGAGATCGCTTCGCTCCAATATCCCGGCCCGTCGTTGTTCGAATTTTTGGTCCTCATTTCTCATTTCCTGCTTCTCGACGACGGCGATAAGATAAACGTGGACGTGGACGTGAATTGGGATGCACCGAAATGACCTTCATCGACACAAGAGTCGGTCCCCCACTCGGGTTTCAAGGGGAGCAAAGGGGTGCATCGGCACGTACAATACCAGGCTAGAGAGGTACCAGCATGTCTGACCCTGCCCCTCCCCCTCCCCCCCCTCCCGTCTCGAGAAAAAGGTACCGTCACCGAGATGAGGGAACGGAGCCGAGTGATAGCGTGTGATGGCACTTTCAGCGAAATGGCCTGTGACTTCTAGATCTCGCTGATATGTCCCGGATCTTCGCTTCTCATCTACAGTTGGGCATTTGTTGAGGTTTTGGCACGCAGTTAGTCGGTGTAATAGCTGACGATCTCCATCCATCCTTCCTCTGGATCATAACAGCTGGAAACCAGTCCTGCAAATCCCATTTTCCATGAAGGTCCTATACGTAGTGTAGCTCGGGGTATTTGACGGATTGTCGAGTCCCTGTCCATCGCTTCATGACGACCGAAGGATGAGCGACGCAAATCAACGATAGAATCTACACTAGATTGTCGTCAGAGAGGAAAAAGGGACGACAGGGATGATGGGGTTTGCCCCTTTCGTCACCCGTCAACCCCTGCCCTACAAGTAGCCCCAAACGTCATGATGGGACGGTCGGGAGGGGAAAGGGATTATGCACTGGTTGATATCAACATGAATAAATCCCATTCCGACAATTGTTCGCCATGATTCAAGCGGCGAATCAACCGTCGGTTTGGGGCTTGGGGATGACCTCTTTTTGTCGTCAGCGTAGTCTAAGTCCCGTCGTCGCTGGTTGGCATCTCTGCAGTCGTTCGGTAACCCCTTGGACCCCTGTGGGGGACCCTGTTATCGCGAGTTTCCGAAGTCTGCTTTGCCATCGTTCATCCGTTCAAACACAGGTACTGTGGTACAGATTAGATGTTCAGAGATCGGTCAATGGCCTCTGGTTGCATTTCTTCCCCGTCCTGCCCCGTATAGCTTTCTGCGGCACGGAACACAGAGGCACAAGTTCAGCCGGGGCGCCTGCCGTTGTGATTCCAAGGTCTCGAGCACGCCGCAATTGTGAAGATGCAGTCAGAGTGCAGGTCGCCGATGAGGACGATACAACACAGTATAACGGCAGATACAGAACCTAACCAGAAGAATGTGCCTATAAAAGCTACGGTATACTGCGTATGCAGGTGAGACTTGAGAGGGCACGGTGTCTGTCACTGAATTTCTGGAAGCGAAGCTTGGAGTCTCGTTGGGACGGATGGTTCAGACACCAGCGTCATCTTCGCCAATCAGTGGCAAGCTGTGGTCCCAGACTCCCCTGTCTCCCCCGGAGTCCCAGACAGAGTCTCGGTTGCTGTCTCTTCTGTCTCTGCACCTCAACAGCAGGTTCGCTGATGACGATGGAAGGGCCCGGACGGGGAGGTTCAACCATCTGAGCCGTCATATAGTGTAGTGGTAGTTGTCCCCAACTGCGACACAGTATCTCGTCAACGGGATCAGCGGGATCACAACCTTTTGGGGTGTCACCATCGCAGCGCTCCCAAGTCTAGACGCGCCTGCCATTATGTTCCTAGCCGTCTCGTCCGTGGAGTGTGCGATACGAGGGTGTCAGTGAGGTACGTACTCTAATACTCCCAACGCAAGAAGCTTACAGCGATTTAAGCTTGACAAGACGGGCTGAGCCGGCCCCAATTCAGGGGAAAGACCAACAAGACTGGACGTTAAACCAAACCAACACATTTGATCACTTGTGTTGTCCGAGACATTGTAGAGTCGCAACGATAAACGGCCCAGTTCGCAAGGTGTTCCGTGACACGTCTGGCGATGGATTACAGACAGGAAGACGTCTGTCGGAACTGCCAGACTTTCCGTGGGCCTTGGGAGTTTGCGTGGGTGGCATCCAATCCAAACCAATCTGAGCTGTCACAGCCAGTCAAAGCGCGCTGACGGGGTGACCTCGCCACAAGGCTGGAGCGGCCTAATCTGCCAATGGTCGATCGCGCAGGCCACATTGCCCAATGCCCTCGTCCTCAATTATGCATCCACGCATCCTCAACCGCGGCCTGGAACACGCTGTCGAAGCGGCACTGTGTAATAATGATACGGAAAGGCACCGGAAACGAGAGGCCAAAGCCAATGATCTCTGGAGGGGTGTCAGGTCTATACGCTTCTGGTCGTTTTCGGGAGGCCCATGGTATGCAGACAGCCGCCCATGATGCTCTCACCAGATCGATTTGCCATAGCAAACCGTTTCCATCATGGCGTAGGAATCTGGCATCCATTCTTTGGCTAGCTGTAGAGCGTCTGGAAACAGAGAAGACAGTCAGCGGTGGTACACAGTGTGATCATTTAGACACATCAACGGAGTACTTGGCCTCGAACGGAATCGATCGGCTACGTCTCCCCTGCCAATGGAGCCAGGACAGAGACGCCTAATGGAAGCCCTCAGGCAATCGTCGATGACCCGACCTAGCGGCTCCTACGGCTCCAGCTGGAACAACACGGGGCTCCTCGGGCCCGCAACCTCGAAGCGAACTGAAAGGGGAGAGGAGACGAAAGTAACCGATTTCCCCATTCCAGCCCAGTACCGCTTTTTCTCACTCGATACGGTTTCACTCAAACCAATCCTATTACTGGATCGTTCCCAGGAAACCCTGCGACCCGCATCAACTCACCAGAAGATTGGTCGAAGCCAGATATAACCGGCGCTATACCTAGTTGAGCTCGGTTGAGTGAAACCGTATCGAGTGAGAAAAAGCGGTAGGTTGATCGGGCCACGTTGTGAGGAGAGGATGGAGGAACTGCAAGTGTTGACTGTCAAGTCGGCACCGTGACTGGAAGATCTTTCGGGTGTTGCGGATGGGAAGAAAAGCGAGGTGCAGCACACCTAGGACGTGGTCACCTTAGCACTAACCACGAGGGTCAGTCTCGGGCTGCCCTGCCCTGCCAGGCCTTTGAACTCGTAGCAGGCAGGGCAGGCTGCTGTGTCGCAGTGGGTGTTCAAGTTGAGGACAGGATCGTTTGCGGCACTGGGTGTGGTCGCTCAGATGGGGGTGAGATGTGAACCCTGGGAGTTCTTGGCGCGCACAAGGCAGCGCCATCCAAAATTGCACACACCAGCAGGACAGTGGGCCATTCCGAAAGCGGACTGGGCTCAACATCGCGCCCAATGGAACACAACAAAGACCCGCTTTTCCGCATGCTGGTGTCTCGCCACCCAGTTCTGCGAGCGGAGATGGAACAGGGTCACAAGAGGGGTGGCCTGTGCGGTTTTCATCAGCCATTTCGACCATTTGTGCCATTCAGCTGATTTCAGCAGGCATTCAGGGCATTCACGCCATTCCCATTCGTCGACCCGGCGCGAGGAGGCCAATTGCCTGTCGTCCAGACTTGTTCCATCCAATGCCCGAGACCCCAGTGCGCTAGTAGCGCCCCAGTCCGGCAATGGGGGGGCACCCCGTCATCCCATTGGCGACCCCGTTGAGAAACCCCATCCGTCCGGCCAGTCACAGCTGGCAGCGGCAGCCAGAGTGGGCCGGTTACGGTGGGACGAAGTGGGCGAATTGGACGGTTTGGGGGCTCTGGGGGACCCACTCGCACAGCGCTGTCCAACGCTGCTCTTCTTCCACTTCGTCCCTCCTCCCTTCGCCTCTTCCCTACTTCTTCACCCGCCTCGTCCCCGTCAAACCACCTCCAACCCTCACCCTCGATCTTCTGCCACATTTGCAAGCGACTACACCTCACGACCACACAAAACGACTTCTTCAACCCTTCCTCGACTTTGCCGACTATTTTCGAACACTCCCTCGACCGTCTTTGATTGCTCCACTGCAACGGCCTTGGTTTCGGTTCCATTGTTGTTGTCTCACAATACCTGGGTTTAATACCGCACAACTCCCGGCTTGGCCAAATAAAACCACACACACACAACCCACAACCACAACCATAACGGTTATTTCACTCGACAACCACCCACTCTCCGATTCCGCATCTGGATTTGGCTCCGCCTGGACCGATTTTGCTCGTCTTCAATATCGCACTCCTCGCCCATCATAATGTCTTCGTACTATCACTCCTACGCCCACCAGCAGCCTACAGCCGCCGCTGCTCCTGCAGTATCCCACGCTCACCATGGTGGGCGTAACAGGAGAGCTCCCAGGCTGTCTGTTTCCCAGAACACGCATAAGCAGTTCCGTGGTGTCCGCAGTATGAAGGACTTGTCCGAGTCTGTGTCCGTGGTCTCGTACCGCACAAAGTACGAGGCTGGCCGCTCCTTTGATCTCGAGGACGACATGGAGTTTTGCCCCGGCCTTTTGACCGATGATGATGTGAGTAATGACCTAGATAGATGCCTGCTATCCTCTCCAAGACGCCGGCACTAACCCGCCTGATTCCTTAAGTTGGTCTCCATCCACAGCGCTTCCTCTGAGCGCTCCTCCTTGGCAAGCAATTCGCCCCAAAGCTCTCCTACGCAGCAGCCCACCACTATTGCCCCAGGCTTCTCGCTCAACTCACCCTATCTTCCTCCGGTCTACCAAAGTCAACAGGCGACCCTTAAGCTTCACCAGCCCTCTGCCACCCGCGGCCGTAATGCCATTCCCATCATCAACCCTGCTACTGGCATCACCATGACCAGCCCACCCCCCTCGGTATCGCCCGCTCGGATGCAGCAGCAGCAGCAGTCCCTTATGGGCGCTCGGCCACGGTGGTAGGCGACTGATGTCTCGCTTCTGTGACGCAGACGAGACTAGGCCGACCTAGACCGTCGTCGCCGTTGCAATATGGACTGTACAAGTACTGCCCCTTTCGCATGCTCACTGCAGATGCTCATTTTGGCGGGTACCACCGACGTTTTTCAACTTTTAAGCAGGCAGGCATTACGATGATCTTCTCATTTTCCCGGCAGGCAGGGGGCGACAACCCAATCTTCAACTGGATCTTCGACCTTTTCGGCAACCTTTTTTCCGATACCCAACCTGTACAAACATCCTTTAATCGACATAAGCTCCTTTCCCTTCTTGAAGCGAAAGTTCTTGACATTTTCGGACGGCGCAAAAAACGAAGATCTATCGGTACCTCTTGTTTTTTTTCGAATACCCAAAAAAGCGCGGTGGTGTCTACGGTTTCGAAAGATGGGGCTGCTTTGATTTTTTTTACGAAACGGGCGTTACCAAGGTGGTTTTGCATCCTCCGAACTACTAATCACTTCACACACAACTATTTGCATCGGTGTCTCACGACGGAGTTCTCGGCTTTTTCCTCGCCTCGGCGATATTTCTTATTTTCTCGTTTTTTCGATACCATACACGGGGTTGTGGTGTTTCGTCATCGTCACTAAGAAGCGGCGACTTCAGTCACATGATAAAAGTCATAACGGTTCACGGGTCCACGATTCCTCAAAGAAAAAGAGATCGACATATAGAGCGACTTTCGATGGGTTTTTAGCAGGTAGCGCTATGTGGGCGGGAGGTTTTTGCAACCTTGGGTGTTCTCGAATTTCTTGGGGCTACATGGGCAAATCTTTTTTGGGAGCAGGCGGGCAGGGAGGCAGGCAAAGACCTCCTTTGTCGTTTTGGTGTCGCGCGGAATCTCAACTTGCAAGCTGGAATTTCCGGGGTGTACGGGAATGAGGAGTTGGTTCTGAAAGTATTTTCGGGGATTTTCTACTGTGTTTTTTTTTTTTCTTGGATTCCGGATTTTCTTTCCGTCTGTATCATGAAGGGATGGTAGGCGCTGTGCTACGGCTTAGCCCCGCCTTTGCTTTTCTTTCTTGTTGATTTTGGGATTTATTTCTTCCAACGGGGAAACTTTGCATCTCTCGGATCTGGCTCGGTGTGTGGAAAGATATCAGCGTGTCTCTTTTTTCTCTCGTCTCTACTATTTCTGGGGAAGGCTGGCTCGGTTTTTTTTCGGCACAAAGCATCATCATTTCGGGGGTATCCTCTTTTTTGGGAGCGGGCGTCGCTTAAACTTTGCTGGTGTGTGTCTTCCATATCCATCTTATGAGGAGTTACACTGTAAAGGGTTGTGTGTTTCTGTCTGCTACTTGCTGGGATGTGGGCGATTAGCTCCGAAATGGCTGCTTTGTCCCGGTCGAGTCATCATTTTCCGTGTCTCTTATTATCGACCGTTCGAACCAAAAAGCTTGTGTGAATATTTGGGATCTTTTCCCCTGAACAAAATTTTCAAGCAATACGACGGGCGATCGAAATAAAAACAACCGCCTTCTTCACTCATATCTTGTTCTCTCCGCTGCATTTGTGACTTGCTTCGTTGAGTGCCGTGTATGTGTGTTTGACTTGGAGTAAGGTGACAAGTCGTACGATGACATGCCGTGATACAGCATCTATCCCATCCCTATGTTGTGTGATTCTTGGTCTGGTGTAATTAGAGGCGTCTACACTTCTTGTTTGTGTGTCACGGCAGTCATTTGTAGTAAGTCACCGACTGCTACCCTCGTCGTGACTGGTTCACTCGCTACTGAGGGGGCGGCAAACACCCAAGTCGTGATTCTACCGAGTCTGGATTGGATGACCGAAATTGAATCAAGCTGTCTCCGTTTTCTCCGCTCACGAGGTTCACTACAATAAGGACGACGACGACGACGACAATGAAGACAGCCACAACGAAGACAGCCACAACCCATTTTGACACGACCCTGGATAACTTCAGCACTTTTGTGTGTGTCTCCGGTTTACTTTCCACCTACCTACCTACGTAGATACTGACTGACTCACCGACCGAGTGACTGACTGACTGGACTGACCGAATGAATAAGGTAACCGACCAAAATGAAATCATGACCGAATAACTGACGACCTCAACCTCGTCATCATCAAGTAAACCCGACTCGAGAAAATCACACAAAACAAAGCAGAGCAAGGCGTTCAGTTCTTCAGACTTGGTCTTCCCATCACAGGCAGGGTCCTAGTACTTCTTTTAGTGTGTGTATATGTGTATTGGGTGCCATTTTTTATGCTTTTAGAAGACGGACGGACGCTTCAAGCGGAAATTACTTAGAAAAAGATGGTGATGCTGAATAAACAAGACGAGACGAAACGAGTGAAGGGCGACCGAGTAGTTCAACTGCTCGCTCTTTCCCACTCACTCTTCATCGCTCCTTCTTGTATTCCCTCCGACCGCCAGCCAGTGTGGGGAAGGGATTACCTGATGGTCTCAGTCGCGAGTTCCCCATTTCGTTGTTGTGGCGATTGTCGTACACATGTAGAGTAAAGTAGGTGCTGAGTGAAGTGATTTGAAGTCCTAGGCGGCGGAGATTCGTTTCTGTTCTATCCGCTTGGACACTGTGAGTGTGAATGTACTGCCTGCCTTTTGACTTGATCGATTGTGTTTCATACTCAGCTACCGAGAGTTGGTGAGGGTTTGGTTGGATTGCACGTTCGGTTGCGGATTAAGGTTGAACGGAGCTTGATGTCTATATGTCGTGGAATTAAGAGAGGGTTGGTTGATACACCACTTCATTTACGCTGGCTGGACGGACATCCATCGTCAATTCTACGAGACGACTGTGTCGTCAACATCACCGAGACTCGCTCGATACGTGAGAGATGGCTGGCCAACAACTGTCGAATTGTTACAAGACTCGTACTGCAAGTATATCATACAATCGAAGCAAAGAAGAGAGATAATCAGCAACCAACAAAAAAAAGCAATCAGGATACTAGCTTAACAATAATGCTATTGACTTTTGATCCTTCCCTCCTTCCTAGAACAAGAACATCAACTCACCAAAGGAACTCCCCTCCCCCGTTCGTTCATAAACCCAAGACTCGAATAGCATATAGTTAAAAACCGACATCTCTCGTCATGTCTCGCTCCATCCAGTCCTCAACCACCTCACACAATCTTCCTTTCGTTTACAACAACACGCTTACTGGGTATCAAAATCCCCAATTGCCTAGGTAAATTTCTCCCTATTAACCCCCCTCTCACATCTCATAAACCCCTTTCCTTACGAACCCCTCGGCCTACCCCTTCCTCTCCCCCTCCCCCTAATCCCACCTCTTCCCCTAGAAACAACACCCACACCACCTCCTCGCCCCCTGCTCGCAAAGCTCTGGCGAACACTCTCCTTCCTAGCCGGAATGTCCTCGTCATCTGAGTCTGAGTCCGAGCTCGGCTCGTCTTCGGAGCCCGTACCACTTGCCACGCTTCCGCTCCGCTCCGATCGCGACCGAGAAGGCGAACGGGATCCGGAGTAACTGCCACCACCGTAATCGGACTCTTCGTCATCGGTGTCCATGAGCCTGACGACGGTAGGGCCTGCGGGCTTCGGTGGGGGAGGTGGTGGTGAGGGCGATCGGACGGGTGAAGGTGATGGAGAGGGAGAGATGCGGGTGACGGATGGAGCGGCTGCGGTGGAGGGCGCACGACTTGGGGGTTCGGGCGAGGCGCTGGCGCTCGGGCTGCGTTCTGGGGACTTGCTGAGCGAGGAGGCCTCGTCGCGCGGAGGACTGATGCGAACTGATGTCTGGGACGCGGAGCGTCGAGCTGGTTCTGGAGACTTCTCCTTCTCCTTCTCCTTCTCCTTCTCCTGCTCAGGCTCCGGCTCCTCCGGTTCAGACTCGGAGTGGTGAGATTCCTCGTCGGCAGGCTGGACAGTTTGGCGGGTTGCTGACGTGGTCCTGGTCCTGGTCGTCCTAGGCGATTCACGCACAGGAAGGGAAGTTTCCTTCCCAGCACCCCGCGTCGCCCGTCCAGAAACCGCAGGAGAGGCACTCTTCTCGATCGAGTCAACTGGCTTGGCGATGACCTTTGCGGGCGTTCCCCCGGTGCTCTTGCGCTCACCAATCTTGAACTTCTTGCCCTTAAGCTTCATACGCTCAGCCAACGACAGCATGGGTGCCCTGGTAGTGACCTCAACCGCGACCTTCTTAACGCCATTTTTCGGTGGACGGCCTCTCCTCTTAGGAGCTTGGGAAGCGTTGGCATTGCGCTCGACGACCTCACCGTTCTCGTCAAATCCATCAAGCTCTTGGGCGAGTTGGGCATCGATATCCTCATCATCATTGTCTTCACCGGCGTTGTGGTCACTATCCTCAGGTTCCCTTGCTGCCATCGATGCGCGTGGGGGACGCCCACGTCTGCGAGTGGTTTCTGGTGCGTCGTGCGACTCCTCGTCCTCGGTGTGGTGGGCTTCAGACCTCCGTGGCCGACCGGGAGGACGTCCTCGCTTCTTGTGCGGCCCACGTAGCTTTGACGGCCCACGTAGCTTTGACGGCCCAGTTGGAGCAGCAGCGGCACGAGTCGATCTGGGTTCCTGAGAGGCTTCATTGCTACGGTTACCGCCGGAGCCGGTAATGGCGAGAACGGCAGCAGAAGCAAGATCCAAGGGATCCTTGGGACCAGTCGGTCCTTCGATACTCTGTACAACGCTAGGCGGTGCTGCAGCCGCCCGGTATTCAGGTCTCTGCGAGCGAGGGATGAGAATGTCGTTGAATTCTTCTTCGTTATCCTCATCGACCCTGTAAGATATTTTGGGCCTTGCATGTCGAAGGGAAGGTATGTTGGGCGAGTACCAGCGGGCTTGACGAGACTCCTCACCTGCCTCATCCGCAGGCGGGGCGTTTTCAGGCTGCGAAGCGCCAGCCTGGGCAGATCCAGCTCTAATATCACCGGCAACATCCGTCATCGTCTGATCAAAGAGCGCCGGGTCCATGTTCTCGAGAGCATCATCTTGACCGTCCCGCGTAGGTGGGGGCTGGGAAGAAGTCTTGTCAAGCTTGGGCTTCTTCCGGTGGTGAGACCTCGGTGCAGCAAAATCAGGATCATCATCTTCGGCGTGGCGAGCCCTACGCTTAGCCAACCGAAGCTGCTTCTTCAAATACTCAGACATCAATTCCGGTTCTTCGTCAACAACATAATCTTCGGCCGTAGGCCTCTGATAAGGGTCGAACAGAATCTTGTCCGGACTATCATCATCCTGCTGGTAGTAACCCATACCAAGCATACGCTCCTGGCCGAACATGGACGGATCAGGGTAAGCGGACTGATCCTGATCCTCCGGAGCGATAGACATATCTGCAACCTCGGCGAGACCTGCTGGTTGGGCGGCGCTGGGCTGGTCGGCAGATGTGCCGCTCATTTCGACGTCCGGCCTCTCCTGGCCCTCACCCAAGCCGTCGGCAATGGATTGCTGCAAAGCATCATCCATGTTTTCAGCTCCTGCTGCCTGCTCGCCGTTCGGTAGGGCAGGAACCTGGATGTGTACGTCTGCGTTCTTGGCCTTCTCGGCTTCAGCCTGTTGCTGTAGCTTTTGCAATCTCTTGCTTTGAACGTTGCGGCCATCGTCGCCAGAGGTCTTGAGCCAATTGAGATTATGTACCTTGAAATCGACAAGTGTTTCCACACTCCGATCGTCAGCGATAGGGCGAGTATCGTGTCCAAGCAGCGTATTCTTTGGCTGATATGGGACATTTCCGTTCTTGAGCCTACGGCAAGCACCGCAGTTGCAGATCTTCAGGCACCTAGGGCACTCCCATCTCTCATTTTGCAGGACTTCCTGGGGCATGAGATCGAACGCTCGGTAGAGGACACCGTAGCAATAGGCTTCTGAACAGCCTGGATTCGAACAGAATGCGAGCTTGTAGGTGTAGTCTTTGTGCTGGCACACATGGCAACGGTAGACATCGCCCTTCTTCTTTTTGCGACGTGGTTTCTTCTTAGGCTTCCCATTTTCGTCGACCTCTGGCTCTGAGTTTTCGGGCTCCGAAGGTTTATCGAGTTTGCTGATATCTTTCCATGGCCGTCTCCGAAGCTGCTCCTGGCAAATCTGCGCCACAGACTTCTTGCCCGTCTTCTTTCTCGCCAACTCCAATGGTAAGGGAGACGTGTCGTAGTCGACATAGCCATCGTTCTTGATGATCAGAGCTCGCCACTCTTCATAACGATCCACCAGGTCAGACCACTTCCACTGCTCGGCCCAAGTGAGATTGGAAACACAGAGGCACGAACGTCCCATGGCGTAGCACTCCATGCAGATATCGTAGGTATCTTCGTCTCCAGTAACCAGGGTGCGAACGCAGTGCTTGCAGGTGAGGAAGCGATTGAAGATGTTGGCTCTGCAGTACGAGCAGGTAACGCAGGAATCAAACTCAACGTACTCAATCTCCTTCTCCTTTGTGGCAAACATCTCGTCCACCATGATCTCAGTGAATAAGCGGAAGAGGGCCTTGAAGTCTTTGGCGATTTGTGTCATGCGGAAAGAGTTCTTCATCAAATCCTGACCAAAGCCGAGCAGCCCGATGTCGGCATTCTGCTCCATCTCTATCATTTGGTTGTAATACTTCTGCAGTGTGAAGTAGATGATCGCCTTGTTCTTGTACTGTTCGTCACGGCAGACAAGTCTTGCCTTAGGAAGGGCTTCATGCAATGCCATCTCCAGAGTTTCGGCCGTGGTCCTGTTCCACGCAACCTTGATGGTGCGAGTGCCGCGATTCCAGACCTGATGTGGAGCCAGAGGAGGAACCAGAACGAAGTCGCCCACTTTCTGTTCCACAATGTAGACGGGGAAGTTCGCCTTCTTCCAAGCGTTGATCTGAGCAAAATGCTTCTCGATCTCGATGTCGTGCCCCAGGATAGAGAGGAAGTATTCTCTGACGACCTCGCGGTCCTTGGTCTCGGTCATGAACCAGATTGAGCTGCCCGGCTTCTCCCCGTTCTCATCGCCGGATGCATCCACCATGATGTTCTGACCCAAGCTGGCGCACATTTCGCGATGGGCGGGAGTGTATGTGCCTTCATGACCGACGTAGCACATCAAGTTCTGGGCGCGCATCTCTTCGGGAAGACTGCTCATCAGGTCACCGGCTGGGGCGCACGACTTTTCCTCCACGTAGTCATAGTCATCGAAGCGCCTCGAAGCCTTTCTATCGAGGTTGTCGTTCATGTAAAAGAGGTTCGTCGGAATGACCTTCTGGAGGCGCTCGTGCCACTCGGGCGGGCAGTCGATATCCTTGAGGTAGAGGCGTTGGCGGCGCTCATCGCGGAAGTTGTTTGGAGTCCACTGGTTCGTCAACTGCTTCATCGATCGGAGGTAATGACCCATGGTCATTGGAATGTCGGTTTGGGCAACGATGTCGCGAACATTTTCCTCTGCAAAGAGTGAAGGTGGTTAGACTACAGCAAAGGTGACACAAGAATGACAAGACAAGCTTGACACTCACGTTTCTTGTTATAGGTATCCTCGAGCCATTCTGCGCTGAACAGCGTCTTGGGTAGTCGATCGTTCCATTTCTCGATGACCAGCGGTTTGCCACCACGGATGACATGGAGGTAGACGAGTCTCTCGAACTCTTGAGGGCCGATGTTGCGGATCTGAGCTGCCGAGACACGCAGGACCCAATGGAAATTTGGCGTCTTTTCGACCAGGGCATCAAGATCGAGATCCGGCGGAATCGGGTCGAATTTGGCCTGGGGATGGGATGCGGCCGGCATCTTGGTGATGGTGTTGGTGTGTGTCGGTTGTTGTGATGCGACGATGTTGCTATTCTCTAGTGGGTTCGGAAGAGGTTCGTGCGAGGGACGTGATGGTTACGCGATAGAGGTGTTGTTGGAGAGGCGCGCAAGAGCATTCAAGCTACATGATGCTCAATTCGACATTCGGGAGTGCAAGCTGAGATGCCTGCGTCGGCTGTTGGTGATGAAGACAGCGGAAGGAAGGGGCGTGCACTGTCGTGAGAAATGCGCGGTCGCCTTCAATGTGGTGTTGCTGCAGTGCCCCTGGTGATATGAAATCGCCCCGTGCCGAAGTGGGAGACGGTTCACTGTCCGACGCGGCAAAAGTCGACAAGGCCAATTGGTAATAAGTGGAATCCCTGCAGGGGCCTCTCAGCTTTATCTTATCCTTAGGCCAATCACGGCGGAGAGTGGACCTGTGGCTGATGCTGTCACCGCAAATCAAATGGAGAAGAGCCAACTGTGGCGCATATAATTTGTGTAGATCAGAAGGCCGAGATCAACAAAGTTCACGAAGACGACCCCAGTTGAAGGATCGGGACAAGAGGTAATTTTCGCAAAGAGTTCTTTTTGTTTTCGCTGTGACTCAACTGATGCGGAATCTTCGGCATCTCTGCCAGTTGAAAACATGTGAAGTTGCTCACTTACACGATATCCACTAGCCTTCACTAACACGTACACCCACCACAGACAGCCTCCTCTCACGAGTCTCACGACGGTTCACCAGAAGGGGCCTTGCCCATCATGTTCTCACATCGTCTTCTGACCGGGCTTGTCCCCCGACGAACCTTCTCTCACACTACCACCCGTTTTCTCACCAAGCCATCATGCTCATCACCACCATGTCTGGGCAGCCGACCCTCTCACCAGTCCAAGGCCCTCACCAAGCCACGCCTCCTCTCACTTGAGACTCTTCACAACTACCACACCACCAAACCCCTCCTCTCCCAACCCGAAATCCCAACCACACCCACGAGCGCCACCCTCCCCACCTCCGCCGTCCCCTCCTCCGACCCTCCTCTATCCGAATACGTCCCCCCAACAACCGGTCTCCTCTCGCGCCTTCCCTCCTCCTGGCTCCCCTACGCCGAACTAGCTCGTCTCGACAAGCCCACCGGCTCTTACTACCTCTTCTTCCCCTGCCTCTTCAGCACTTTACTCGCCGCGCCCCTCGCCAACACGGCGGCGGCGGCGGGCATGGCCTCGCCCGCCACCGTCATCGGCACCTCCCTCCTCTTCTTCTCCGGCGCCCTCATCATGCGCGGCGCCGGCTGCGCCATCAACGACCTCTGGGACCGCAACCTCGATCCACACGTGACGCGTACACGGCTGCGGCCCATCGCGCGGAGGGCCATCACGCCCTTCCAGGGCCTGGTGTTCACGGGCTCGCAGCTTCTGGCCGGGTTGGCGGTGCTGCTGCAGTTCCCGTTTGAGTGCTTCTGGTACGCGACGCCGTCGCTGCTGTTTGTGGCGTGCTACCCGCTGGCGAAAAGGGTGACATATTACCCGCAGTTTGTGCTCGGGTTGACGTTCTCGTGGGGAGCGATTATGGGTTTTCCCGCGCTGGGGGTGGACTTGTTGGCGAACAGCGCGGCGTTGACGGCGGCGGGGTGCTTGTATACGAGCAACATTGCGTGGACGGTGTTGTACGATATGATTTATGCACATATGGATATCAAGGATGATGCCAAGGCGGGTATCAAGAGCATTGCGCTCAAGCACGATAAGGAGACGAAGCAGGTGTTGACGGGTCTGGCGGTTGCGCAGATTGCGCTGCTGGCTGGGGCGGGCGCGGCGGTTGGTGCTGGGCCGGCGTTCTTCATCGGAAGCTGTGGTGGCGCGGCCTTGACGTTGGGTTACATGATCAAGAAGGTTAACTTGAAGAGCGTCAAGGACTGCTGGTGGTGGTTTGTCAATGGCTGCTGGATCACCGGTGGCGTCATCAGCATGGGATTGGCAGCGGACTATCTGCTCAAGTACTACGAGCAGGAGAAGCAGGAGAAGAAGCCGGAAGAGCTAGAGTCGGCCTGAAAGATGGTAACTAGGTTCTACTCTCTGTTCTGTCTGGGATATCATCTTTGTAATTTCATGTACCATAACACCATGATTGTCATACTATTAGACACAAACAGTCCCTCAGGGGGCAATCTCCAGAACACCGAAAAGGCAGAAGATAGAGAGAAGCTTTTGGGGAAGCACGATTTCTTTTGGCAATTAATGACCTGCTTTCTGTTGGATCATTACTACCATGAGAGTTCAGGTATCCCTTAAACCCAAAACCAAAATGCCGTTGTAAATAGACTCCGCATAATGAACCGTGCCCGTTTGCCTGCTCGAAGCAACGATACGCTTAAGAGCGGGGCTTCTCCTTCTTCTCCTTCCAGAGGGCGAGGAGACCGACACCAGAGACCTTGACGACCTTGAAGCGGACACCGGGAATATCACCCTTGGCCTTGCCCTTGCGACCGAAACCGGCGAGGAGGACCTCGTCGTTCTCGTCAACGAAGTTCAAGCAACCATCGTTGGGGACTAGAGAGGGAAATGGGTTAGCACATTTGCCACCCGGATGCGCTGGGGTTTCCAGCAGGAGTATCCTTCATCATCGAATGATTTGGGAGTTGGAGAGGGGTCGTCGTACCGAAAGCAGTGACCTTCTTGCCGTTCTTGATGAGCTGGACACGGACACACTTGCGGATAGCCTATGGTCGCAAATGTTAGTCTTGTGTTGACGTCGAGTTGCGTTGTTTGATATCGGAGAATCGAGTCGAGTTGGATCGAGTTCATCGAAATCGGGATCGGGGTGTACGTACGGAGTTAGGCTGCTTGGCCTCAACGCCGACCTTCTCGAGCACAATGCCCTTGGCGTGGGAAGAACCACCGAAGGGGCTGTCATCATGGTCATGTTAGCCGAATGTCCTCCATCTCGTTTCGCGTCGTGTTCGCCGTCCTCAATCGTCCCATCGTTCCCATCTCTTTCTCTTCATTTCGCCATCGTCGTTTGGTCTCGTTTCCATCGCCATCGCTATCGCCATCGTCGGGACTGATGCGTACCTGGACTTGAAGGCAGTGCCGAGAGCCCTCTTCTTGTAGTGAAGATCGGACCAACGCTGCTCGCGACGGTTGTTGCGCAGCTTGCGGGCCGCGTTAAGACCACGGGGCTTTCCTCCAGACATATTGGCTTTTGGTTGAAAATGTCAGTTTGGGGGACAGTTTCAAAGGAGGAGTCGGAAATCGAAATATCTCGACGTGGTGAAGGCGGGGGGCAGCAGGGAGGCACGTACCGACTTAGAGACGTGATCACGGACTCTGGGTACAGTTCGTAATCCGGAGGGTCAAGGTCACGGTTTGCTGGGAATTTTTTGGTTTTTCCGTAGTAGGGCGAGAAAACCCTAGGACTGCGTGCGATTGGGTGGCGGCAGAGTGGGGTCATTCGCCTCAGGCAACTGTCGTTGATTGTGTGACAGGTGGAGCATTCTTTGGACTTTTGACCAATGGAAGCGGCTACTGATAAGCCCCTTTGATAAGCCAGCTGTTCCGTCACTTGCATGCTTGTACCGTCAAGGTTCCCCAAGCTCAACCAACGCGAACGCGCTTCCAACCTGACCTACAAAGACATTCAAGCTCACTTTTGGAAAATGTAGCCATGTCCCAACTCGCCAAGGTAAAGTCCAAGGCACGCGAGCCGCCATCGCTCTTCCTTCCTCCTTCTCCATCGGCCTCACATGCCTCGCTCTCTGCAACAACCGGCCCCGGCCCGGGCCACCAGTCGGGACCAGGACCATCCTCCTCTCTCGGACCTGGCCGCGGTGGCGCATCCCTACTCCCTTCACCGGCCGTGAACGATACTCGACGAGCAAGTGTCGCCGCTGCCGCTGCCGCCGCCGCCAATGCAGCAACAACCACGACCGGTTCTACTAGTCCGAATCCCGCGACAGCCCTCAACCTCTCCATCCCGTTGCAGCTGCCTCGAGGCGAGTCTACGCGCACCACCGATAGGACGGATGCGCTCTGGGCCGAGATGCAGGCGACATTGGAGGAGGTCGAGCTGTCAGCTAGCGGAGGCACGAGGGTGTTTGGACCGGATCATGAGCAGAAGCTGGCGGAGCTACGACAGGCGCAGATTGCCCTGGCGCAGGCTTGGGCGAGGAGTGAAGCGGATGATGCTGTTGAGACACAGAACAATGGGGGTACTGCAAGCGTCGTAGGAGGCGGGTTAGGGAAAACCAAGTCGTCGGTTGCCGGCACGGAACACGGTGGCCTTGGTGGGAAATCGGAGGCGGGTGGTACAATAGGAGGCACTGAGGGCGGAGGACCAAAGAGCACCGGGGGCGCCGGCAGCACACGGCCCAATAGTGCCGGAGGACCTGAGAAGCTCGGCGCGAAGCTCGAGCAGGAGACTGATGCTGACATTCTACTTGCGAGGAAGAGACGTGAGGCCAATGATCACTACTTTTCGAGAGTCAACCAGGGCGTCCTCGATGTTGTCGCCAAGTTGGAGGATGTAGCTGTCGCCATGCGCGCGGTCGAACAGGAGAGTAAGGATATCTGGGCAGACGGCGAAGACGACAGCAACCCGGGGAGTGTGAGGGCCAATGTTTAGTCGGCGTAAGTTGATCACATAGCGTTTGGGACTTGAAGCGGGTATCACCATGGGCTTCGCATCACCATGGCTAGTTTGGCATTTCTACGGTGTTGGAACTCTCGAGCATTACCTTACTACTGCGTACCTAACTTACCTATCTATCATAATCGATAATTCTCACGAATGCTTTTATAAGGACATGCCAACGAGCTCAAGCTTACCCAAACCCGCATACTCAAACCAAATCCTAGCACTTGATGCTCTCCCTGTTGCGTAAGCATGCATGGCTAGCTCACATCTGCCGAGGCTGGCGATGAGACGAAGCCGTTAACGGGCAGTCTCCAAAAGGGGCTAGGAGCTAGGAACACCGGGACACCCCACGTGTGGTGGATTTGGCATCCTCGGGACCTTGCAACTTGGCATCCACATTCCACCATCCCCCAACTCCCCCACTGAAGTACATACGACTCAGCTCCAAGTCCATTCATCCGGATTGCCGACCCGAACCCAGCGAGCGAGGCCGTCCTTCTCCCAGTGACAGTCCATCCCAGCCTCCAATTTGTAGGATTGTCGTGGTTGTCGGAAGAGAGGAATGGCATCGGAAGCCCGGGTTTGTTGCGGGAATCCGAATGCTGTGTCTACCTATCAAATGGAAGCTCTTGTCCTACCATGGAGGGGCACATGTGAAGCTCCAAAAAGCCCTCACCACGACAACAGTTGAAAGGGACTCAGGTGTAATTGTCTGAGCTCGTGACAGTGACACCATTCTCGAGGAACACAGAACAATCCCAGGACCAGGAATTGGAGTTCAGATTTCCCAGATATGCTCATTAAGTCCGGCAATCAACCATAGAGGTACCTACAGAGGAACAAAGTTGTAGACGAACGGTAACTCGCCTCAGGTACCCAGTGATAAATACAGAATGCCATAGAGACAGAGGTAGTAGCAGTGCGTCATGTGCAGTAACTGCAAGCAGATGAGACCCCCAGATTTCCAAGATTCAGGGCAGTCAATGAACGGGGAACACGGGAACTGACGGAGGACCTTGAACTCAACCACTGGCAGACATCCAAGCCGAGCGCTGCTGCCGTGGCCGCTCCGATCACTGGAGAAAAAAATGGCCCGAGCCTCAAACGTAAGGTAGCCCGGCCATCCATACAGTATACAGTACTACCGTGGCCCGGACTACTAAAAGAGGTACCCGTGCCGTAGCCCGACTACCTACCTTGACTCCAGTCTTGCTCCCGCGTCCCGTGTCCGTTTCGCTCCGTTGATTTTGAGGTCATTTCCTTTTCCAACTTTCCCTTCTTCTCTTCTTCTTCTGCTTCTCTCCCCTTTTCTCCCTCTCGCTTCCACCTCCCCTCCTCCACCTACCTCTTCCTCCAACCAACATCTCCACTCCTCCCCAACACACACCATTCAAGATGGGCTACGTCGACGACGAAATTAAGCGCCTCGGCGATATCATTGCCTCCCTCGAGGGTCGCGTCAGGTCCCTTGAGTCCCGCGAGTTCAGCGGCAAGCCCGTCACCACCGCCGAGCAGGTCCGCATGATCCTCATCGGTCCCCCCGGTGCCGGCAAGGGCACCCAGGCCCCCAAGATCAAGGAGAAGTTCAACTGCTGCCACCTTGTAAGTTCCTTGTCTTGCCGTCCTCCAAAGTAACCAATTGGTAGCCAGCTTAGGGACCAGATGAGAGCTAACCCATGCGCGACACGCGCACGCTTTCATAGGCCACCGGTGACATGCTCCGCGCCCAGGTCGCCAAGGGCACCGCTCTCGGCAAGCAGGCCAAGAAGATCATGAACGAGGGCGGTCTCGTCAGCGACGACATTGTCATTGGCATGATCAAGGATGAGTTGGAGAACAACAAGGAGTGCCAGGGCGGGTATGTGTTTTCTGTTGCCCCCCTCCCTTCCTACCCTCTAACCATAACTGACAACCACTTCTTTACAATACAAACAGCTTCATCCTCGACGGCTTCCCCCGCACCGTCCCCCAGGCCGAGGGTCTCGACGCCATGCTCCGCGAGCGCAACCTGCCCCTGCAGCACGCAGTCGAGCTCAAGATCGACGACTCGTTGCTCGTCGCGCGCATCACGGGCCGCCTCGTCCACCCTGCCTCAGGCCGTTCCTACCACCGTATCTTCAACCCGCCCAAGGACGACATGAAGGACGACATCACGGGCGAGCCGCTGGTGCAGCGGTCGGACGACAACGCCGAGGCGCTGCGCAAGCGTCTCGAGACGTACCACAAGCAGACGGCGCCCGTCGTCGGCTACTACCAGAACACGGGCATCTGGAAGGCCATCGACGCCAGCCAGGAGCCCGGCCAGGTCTGGAAGTCCCTGCTTGCCATCTTTGATGGTGACAAGGCCAAGGCTAGCAGCGCTGGTAGCGGTATCTTGAACAAGATTGCTTCTGCTGCCAAGAGCTCGTAAAGAAACTGACAAACGGACGAATTTTGTTCGCTTGCTTGCTGGTTCTACGTTTACTTGGTGATGGGAAATAGAGCAGCGGGAGAAAGAAAGCGGGGGCCAAGCTTCCTTTCGTGATAGTCGGGATTGTTTGAGAAAGCTACAATATACCGATACAATCAACAACCAACGAACCTGGACGGATACGGAACGAAACCGAATTACCCTCATCCTGCGCATAGTTGGCATGGGCTCTGCTTCTTCGATTCGAGTTTGGGAAGGGAAAATAGACCGGTCACCATGACCGGCGGAGGTTGCTATCACACACACACCACACACACCACCTTAATATCGCCGAAAGACTACCGTAAGCGGTGGTCTTTGGAAAAACGGGAATTGGGGGGTCTTTGATGTTATGATGGGAAAAGCGACGGCGCAAGTTATCATGACATGAAGACAAGAGACAAGGAAAGCGATGTACTTCTTCTTGTAACCGGATATTTGGGATGGATCTAGGAAAAGGGGAAAAAATCGAAACAAAATAAAAAGACACAACGATGTTCCCATGGCTTGTGATGTGATTCTCATTCGTCCATATTCTAATTCCACTTCTAGGTTATATCTCAGGGGTAAAGTAAACAAAATATTCCATCGTTCCACCCGTTCTGCTCCTTATCAATGCATCGATCTATCTGGTCATCGCTCCGCAACCCCCTTTACTTAACTCTTCGTAGTGACTCCGTCTAGCTAGAATTCTGCCCACAATCTATTCAAGGACATTGTCTTATCTATGGTACTTTTTCCTTCTTGTTCTTCGAAAATCAAACAGTTAATCAATAACACCAACGCCCGTAACCAGCACCGAAACAAACGCCGTAGCCGCCGCCGTGGTGGTCATCAGCCGTCGTATTGATGATGATGATGAGCTTGAGCTGTTCTGTTTCCGTTGTAGCACAATTGAGACACGATAGAGGTTCTTCAAAGTGGTAGCCACCGCCGCCAGAGACAGTAACGCCCGGATAAGCGAGAGGATCGCTGTCCAGCAAGAAGGGCGGCATCAGTTAGGCAGGTTGAACAGAAAGAAGGCAAGACTTTGTGGGTTGATCTTGGTTGGTGGTGGTAGCGGCGGCGGCGAGGCGGCCAGCCCTGGTACTGGTAGGACAGAACAGGCTACGCGAGGACGAGATTCTACCTCCTTGGCGTGGCTACAGGAGAACAAAAGGGGATGAGGGTCAGATTTTGGTCTTCGTCCCGAGGACAAGAAATCAGGGGGGTATTGGGGTGGGGGTAAGGATTGTTCACTCACAGTTTACCAACTGCCTTTGCTTGTGCAGCCAGCTCTTGGGTTGGTCGTGCCGTCTTTGGAGGATGACGTGGTTGCTCTGCAGCCGGCTCGTGATGTCGTACCATGCTGTTGTGATCATGGAATTCTCGCGCTGGAGGTTCTTGATGATTTGGTCGCTTGCCGCCTGTTTAGCCCGGAAGGTTGCTCTGGTTAGTATACAAATCAAGGGGAAACAACAACAAATACAAAAAAAAGCGCATTACAATCTATCATCGTCCAGGCGGATGGAAAGCAACAAATGGACGTACCTTTTGGGCCGCGTAGGCACCGCCGCTCTCAACAAGTTTGATCCGCCTTTGTAGATCATACTTCTCCTGTTCAGCCTTGTCGAGTTGCTATAGGCGAGTGGCATTAGCATTTTGTGAGAGGTGCATATACAACATGGCCAAAACACTGTTTGGTGAAGATAGGTTTGTCGGCTTCGACAGCTGGGAAATCAGTCTGTGGGCAGGTAAAGTAATCGTGGATACAGTTGAAAACAAAAAGGAGAAGAGATGAGGGTTTGGGGGATGAGACTGGGAGACAGGTGAACACCATACAGTACGTGGTCACCAGTCACCAAGAGTGGGCATCTCAGTCTTCAATCGCTTGAGAATGCTTGACAGGCAAGCGCTGGTCTTCTCAAGGCCACTAAGCCAGGAGCCTTCTGATGGTATTGGCGCGGGAACGATGACCCATTCACCATCTTTATCAAAAAAGAACTCAGATGCGATAGGCGAGGGGTCCGCCAAAAGGGGGATATCGACCCGTGAGGCCAGATAAGGAGGTGTTGGACTTGGAGAAGGGTCGTTGCTCACCTCGATCTTTTGCCTGAGCGCAGCCTTCAGCTTCTCCATCTTTTCAACGTCCTCCTTCCTGGACTTGTTCGGATCTCCGCCGCTCGCAATGGCATCGTCCAGCTGCTTGCGGAGCTTGTCCTTGGAGACCAATGCTTCCATCAGCTGCGCCTTCATCTCGTCCAGTTCAAAAGTCTTTTCTCTGAGCTGCTTGCGTGTCGCCTCAAGCTCCTTCTGTAGCGACTCGGCTATCAACTCGTCAGAAGCCTTGAGTGCGGTGAGTGCAGCTGATTGCTCCTCTCCAATGACGGACACTATGGGAAGAACGTTAGTCAGTTTTGCCTTTGCATTGCCAGAACAAAGACGCCAGGACTCACGATCTGTCTTGACAGCGATCAACTCGCGCTCCTTGTCTGCAACATCCGCCTCAAGCTCCTGAACCCGCTTTGTGAGCTTCTCAACGTCACTCGAGGTGTCAAGGAACTGCTTGCGCAGGTTCACAAAGGCGGGATTGCTGAGGTACTCAGGTGTCAGTAAATTCCAATCTTGTAGTTCCCATTCAGAATTAAGCTCGCCGACTAACCTTTCTCCTGCTGTGTTGTTCATAATGGCATTGAGTTGTTCCTGGGCAACGGCATGCTTCTCCATAGCCTCGGTGCACTTGCCGCGATACAAGTCAACCTTCTTGTTGGCGGACTCCAATTCGCTTCTTAGGCGCTCATTCTCAGACGCAACGGTCATATTGCTGCGCAAGACATTGTTCTCTGCCTTGAGGCGCTGGAGCTCTAGACGAACAGCCGGTTCTGTTTCAAGCTCATGCTCGAGATTGAAGCCGCCATTGTTAACAGGACTTTCGGAACCCGACGTCTCATGGATGGCACCGCCCATTTGAAGCTGCTCCTGGAGCTCCTTGATCATATTTTCATCGGCTTGGTGCTTCGATTCGAGGTACTCAACTCTTCGTTGGAGCTCCTCGTTCGTTTCTTGCAAGACATTCCTGGATTGGAGCGTGTAGACAATCTCTTGTTCGTTGTTCGCCAACACCTTGACCTTCTCTTCAATCTCCTTTTGCAGCTTTCTGTTTTGGGCCTTGAAGTTCTCGTAGTCCTTCAAGTCCTGTTCCATCTGGACAATTTGCTCCTCTAGCGTCCTGTTCCGTTGCTGGATGAATGTGAGATCTTGAGCCTTCTTCTTGTAATTTTCTAGGCCCTTAATCTGCTGTTGTTGCTGCTTGTTCTCGTGCTCCAGCTCTGTAAGCTTGTCCTCCAAGTCCTTAACCCGGTCAGCCCTTGCTTTTAGAGCAGTATTGTCTTTCTCGAGCTTGGTGATATGCGCTGTCTCCTTGACAAGTTGGGCCTCCAAGTCGTCAATAATGGCCATTTTGTCCTTGATCTCATCTCGCAGGTCCTTAATGGCCGCACCGGCATCGGCACCCCTGTGCCTCTTCATGGCGTTCAGCTCGGCTTGCGCCCCATTAAGGTCGTTGAGCAGAGCTTGCCGTGTATCAAGGAGCTTGTCCACCCGGGCTTGTAGATCGGCATTCTGCTTTTTTAGGTATTCGGCCGCGCCCTTTGTTTGCCTTAACTCTTCCTCCATAAGGGCCGGGTCCCTGACAATGTGCAGGTCGGCATTATCCTGCCCATCCGCCTCCTTCGGCTCTTGCAGTTTGGCTTCGGCATCGCTCTGTTTTTGCTTTTGGAACACTTCGACGGTGTTGGCGATTTCCTTTTGCGTGACACTGTCGAGCTTCAAGATAGCCGGGACGTAGGCCTTGTTGGTGGAACCCAAGCAGATGGTAATGACAAAGTACGAAAGAAACTCGCAAATCGCATTGTCATCAGGGTGTTCTAGGATGGCGCGTAACTTGGATGGCGGAGGAGCGTATTGCGGGACGTCGTTCCGCATAAAAGCAGCAAGGCCGCGAGATACGGTTTCGAGATTGGCCTTGTTGTCTTCGGGTGATGAAGGACTCCGGATGAGGCTCGAGCTGGAAAAGTCCCCGGAGGTCATATCTTCGAGGATGTCTCCCAGCATAAGACCATCTTGGAGGTCCTTAAGAGTGGCCGCTCGGCGCGATGTCTTGAACGTGTTGATCCATTTCAACAGGGCGGCCTGCTTCGCGAGGCTGGACTGCGTCATCGTGGGTAGTCTCAAGAGGCCCGACGGGCCCACGGTTCAGACAAGGTAATGTTTGTGGTCAATGTCGAGGCCGCAGGGAAACGACGAAACGTCGGGCGAACGTGTCGTCGATATAGCCTTGCGATACGGGCGGATCGAAACCCAACCGACGAGGTGGGGGGTGTTGGTCGGGTGCGTGGGTGTAGTATACAAGACGTCGGCACGTAGTATACGTAAAACGGATACAGTAATTCCTTGCTGTCTGCCCGGTAATCGATTGTTCGCTGCGGCAATTGGGGGAAAGTACGATGTGGTGAATGAAAGATAGAACAGAAGGTTGTAGGGCGAAGGTTGAGAGGAGGTCGTTTCTTTTCTCAGGAGATGCTAATTAAACGCGGCGAACAGAAGGCCAAAGACGGGACAAGTCGGATATTGGAAACTAAAGATGGGGTCGGGAATGAATGAATGAATAAGAGCCTTGGTTACTCAAGACGTCTATGCGTGTGCGCAAGTTCTCGTGTTGTTGTCAAACCACGGCAGTCCGGAAGCTCGTTCAAGTTGACTTGTTCAATTCCCGAGTCGCGGTTGGACATCAAGTTGGAGGAATCTCGTTTCGTAACTGGCATACGGCGGGCGGTTGCGTCTTGGGGTGCGCTATGCAGGCCACTCTGGGGGAGGGGGGGCCAGTCTATCCAGGTCCCAAGTTTCCCACCCTAAGCATTTAGTCCGCAGTGTCTCCCAACACCTCAATTTCTGGCAACGCATCCAACTTTCCGTACCTTTCACCAAAAAAACTGGAAAGACTTTTGCACCATCTGCTCAAACATCGCTGGGAAGCTCCTTTTCGCAACTCAGCTGGCCCAAAAGGGGGCTTTTTGGGTGAATTGCTGCATTCTGGGTTGCAGAGCACGTTTGCTGGAGGAACATGTCTTGAGAAACAAAGAGGTCTGTGCACTTCCGAAAAAGGGAATTTTTTGGGACTTGGATAGCGTCCCCCGGAGGGGACTAGACGCAAATAGACCACGGGCACTGCGTCTGGCGTTATCGCTAATTTCTATAGTCTCTCATAATAGTCGTACTCTAATATCAGCCCCCATCCACTCCGCTGCTACACGTAGTGCAGTCTCTTTATACCCTATGGGTCCAAATAGTGTAATATAAAGAATACGTCTATATATAATTTAAACGAAATCAGCCAATATACACAAAGAATATTTAACTTCTACGTAAATACTCGAATATTAAACTACTACAAAAATTTCAACCTCAATTAAATAAAGTGTCCGAAGATAATACGTATTATAAATCTATTTCTACACACTTTTTTATATATTTCTATTACAATTTTATTATTCGTTGATACTATGGGGGTAAATTTCATTATACGCAAAATTATATTTAGAAGGATCGTATACTCTATTTTCGCAACTTATCATCGTATCAATACAAAAATTGGTATATATAATATATAATTATAAATTTAATATCGATAATATTATAATACTTATTCGTTATATCGCCAATTTTCGTTAATTTAATACGTCCGGGCCTTTTAACCCGGCTCTTTAAGATTAAATCGGCGAAATATTATAATATGTAATATTTAATAATAATAAAGACGTTTAATATAATTTTATTAATGTAGTTGTTACCTATTTATTAAATTAGGGGTTACTATTAGACTGGGATTAGCGTTATCCGAAACTTAGTTAAATTAAATTTGTTTATTATATTATTTACTAATAAAGCGATATAATCCTTATTATTTATACTGGTTATAGAAAAAATATTATCTTTTAAATTATATTTATTATTCTAATTAATAAAGTTACTATTTAAATTATACCGTTTAGTCGACTTAGCAAAGAATAGCGTAATACTATTATTAAATTTCCGGGTACTCGGCCTATTTTAATTAAATAATTAATTGTAAAAGTATAAAATATATATTTATTGCGTTTAAAACCGATGGGGGAATTAACCCTCTACTCCTCCATTGGGTTTGAGGGTTAATTCCCCTATCGGTTTTAAACGAGCTCTAATTAATCCTTTAGTAATATTTACGCTTCTAAGTAGATTTACAATTTAGAAACTATATATATATCTTCCTCAATTTAGAATAAGCTACTTATATAAGGTTTATAGAATTAATATATAATATTTCATTTAATTAGCGGATTGTTTTTATGACTATTAATAAATTATATATTATATTTTAATAACGTATATTTCGAAAATAATTTACAGATATTTATACTATTAGGACCGCTATCCTATTTAATATCCTTTAATTTAAATATATAATTATTTTTACTTGTAACGTATAGTATTATATATATAAATATAGTAGTTTCCACCTAGAAAGTTATAAGTTAGGTAAATTTACTATTATTCGTACTTCTATCAATTCTTCTAATATTATAATAGTATTATAGCTAATTTTATAAAGCGTATTTAAAGATTACCGGCAATTCGAATTCCTCTTTAGTACGCTTACGCCCGATACCCTCCCGCTTAATATTTATTTTATTCCGAAAATTATTATTCATATTAATAGTAAACTATTTCTTTTTTCTAATTACGTTAAACTTTTATTAAATAAATTTAGTAAGAATTCTAATAGAATAAGTAAATAAATCGACGGTTGGGATTTAATTATAATTAATACTATATAGTATAGAATTTTAGAGATTGAAATGGCCGTTATTTGGTTTAGAAATTTATTAGACTATTTGAGATCTATTCGCCCTAATTGGGTATCCGGAATTTCAAAATTCTTTAATGAAAAAATTACCGTTAATACCCTTAATTTCCGTATTATATTTAAGGATTTTCGTTGTAAGAACCTATATAAACGATTTCTAATTA